AGGTGATACTGGAGCTGCTGGCACTGGAGGTGCTGGTGCTGTAGGTACTGGAGGTCCTGGAGCCGCTGGTACTGGAGGTGCTCGTACTAGAGGTGCTGGAGCTGCCGGAGCAGGTGGTGCTGCTGGTGCTGGAGGTGCTGGAGGTGCTACTGGAGCTGCTAGCAATGGAGGTGCTGGAGGTGCTCGTACTAGAGGTGCTGGAGCTGCCAGAGCAGGCGGTGCTGCTGGTGCTAGAGGTGCTGGAGGTGCTACTGTAGCTGCTGGCACTGGAGGTGCTAGAGATACTGCTGGTGCTAGAGGTGCTGGCGCTGCCGGAGCTCGTAGTGCTGCTGGTGCTGGAGGTGCTACTGGAGCTGCTGGTGCTGGAGGTGCTGGTTCTGCTTGTGCTGGAGGAGCTGGAGCTGCTGGTACTGCCCCGCGGCGCCTGACTCGGTCCTTCGCCAGGTTCTTAGTCTCTCGTCTTTCACTGGCCCTACTCCACCTCTCCTTTGTCCACCGACAGACCAGTCTCAGCCACAGCTTCTGCCTGGCTCCTCACTGCCTGCTCCTGCTCCTCACACTGAGGTGACTAAGTTCTGACTGAGCGTCGTGAGCCTAAGACTTGTGCTTCCACACCCATTTGTGCTCGTCGTGTCGCTCGTCCTCGTCCTTCTGCTGTCCCAGGCACTCATGGTATGGCACTTCGTCCTTCCTCTGTTCCACAGCGTGTTGTCCTGCCTGAGCCTCCCGCGTCCTCTCTTCCGCACGTTCCTGACCGTGAGTCTGACCTGGCTCGTGCTGCTAGTCCTACTGTCACTCGTCTCCTTGCTACTGTCGTCAGTGACCCTGACTTTGAGTCTACTGCAGCGTTTCCCCTAGTCACTGAGCTAGTCAACTTTGCAGCTAGGAGTCGTCTCAACTACGTCGCGAGTTTTGTTACTGAGTCTGACTCTGTCTGTCCTCCGTCCATCGGAGGTGAGCCTGCCCTTAGCAGTGACGTCCTTTAGGACAGGCAGTTTGAGCTTGAGTGTCTTGCGGCCGCTTTACCTCGTTTCGCATCCATGCTGCTTTGCCCTGAGGGAGATCCGGATGCACTTGACATCCCTACCCCGCGCTCTTACGCTGAGGCGATCGCGGGTGAGTACTCCTCTCAGTGCCAGACAGCCATGGGCGCAGAGATGGCTTCCTGGAAGTCCACAGGCACCTACGTCGAAGAGGTTCCTCCTCCTGGGGCGAACATAGTCGATGGCATGTGGATTTTCATAGTGAATCGGCCTTCGGGTTCTCTGCCTGCCTTCAAGGCGCGTTACGTTGCTTGAGGCTTCAGTTAGCGACAGGGGGTCGACTTCTTCCAGACCTTCTCCCCCACCCCGAAGATGACTACTCTTCGGGTGCTGCAGCACGTTGCAGCACAGCGTGTCTACGAGCTGCACTCCCTCGACTTCTCCACAGCTTTCTTAAAGGGCAGCCTTCAAAAGGAGATCTGGCTGCGCCACCCACCTGGCTTCACTGGGTCGTTTCCTGCGGGTACCCAGTGGAGCCTCCGGCTGCTAGTCTATGGTCTCCACCAGATCCCCCGAGAGTGGCACAAACCACTGAGGACTACACTTGTGGCTCTTGGGTTTGCTCCTTCATTTGCTGACTCGTCGCTTTTTCTACGCACCAACACTACCCTGCCGCCGTTCTATGTTCTCGTGTATGTCGACGACTTAGTTTTTGCTACTGCTGACACTGAGGCGCTGGCCTTAGTGAAGGTGGAGCTGCAGGAGAGACACACCTGCACTGACGTGGGTGAGCTGCGTAACTATCTTGGCTTGTAGATCACCCGGGACAGAGCACGGCGCACCATCACCTGACTCAGTCACACATGGTGCACCAGGTCCTTCAGCGCTTTGGCTTCCAGTTCTCCTCACCACATCCCACTCCTCTGTCTACCGGCCACTCACTCTCAGCTCCACCTTCGGACGAGTCCGTAGAGCCGAGTGGTCTGTACCCAGAGCTTGTGGGTTGCCTCATGTACCTGATGACGTGCACACGACCTGACCTCGCGTACCTTCTCAGCCTCCTGGCTCGCTACGTGGCTCCCGGTAGACACCGAAAGGTGCATTGGGATGCTGCGAAGAGGGTACTGTGTTACTTGTGCAGTACATTCGGCATGGGGCTCGTGCTTGGAGGACGGGGTTCAGTGGTACTCATAGAAGACTCGGACGCTTCTTGTGCCGACGACCAGGCGACTCAGCGTTCGTCACAGGGTTACACCTTCAGTCCTGGCTCTGGTTCTATCTCGTGGAGGTCCACTCGTTCTTCTTCTGTGCTTGGTTCTAGCAAGATCTACGCAGGGGCCATGGCTGCATAGGAGCTACGCTGGCTGACCTACCTGCTGACCGACTTGGGGGAGCGGCCTCGTTCTCCTCTAGTTCTGTACGTACACAACAAGGCAATGCTTGCCTTGTGTCGCGAGCAGAGACTGGAGCACAAAACGAAGCACATTGCTCTTTGCTACTTCCTTGCGCGTGAGCTGCAGCAGCCTCGTCAGCTCCGCCTTTCCTACGTGGCCTCGCAGGCCAACACTGCTGATGTGTTCACCAAGGCCCTTGGGTCTGGTGATCATCAGCGTTGCTGCACTGCTCTTGGGCTTGTGCCCACTCTGCCTCACCTGTTGGTTGCTTGAATTGCTCTTGTTGTACACTGATATATATCTTTATACCTGCTTGTTTACTCTTGCTAGGTTGTGGTTAGTGTACTGCCTTGCTATTATAACTCTGCATGTGATCTGGCCTTGTGGCTGCTTGCTTGTGCTCAGATTGTGTGGTGTCCTTGAGATCCACCCTGAGCTTTGCTTTGCTTGTTCTCTTGCTTGACTGGTCTTGTGACCGTCTGTTGTGTTTGCTCTCTCCCACTTGGCCTATGGGGGTGTGTCAAACTGTATCTTTGTGTTCTCTCTAGGCTATTGTGGGTTAGCGTACAAGGGGTACAACACTTTAGGGTTAGTACTTGGACTCAACTCATTCATAGTTCATTCATTCTCGCACAGTTATTCTGATAGGTACCTCATTATCTGGCTGTCATTGAGATGTGTTGTCATCTTCAAGCACATTTTTTTTTAATGTGCTGCTTCTGTGACATAACAAGGAGGCAGCGTGTCACCGCTTTTGTACTCGTTCCACAGGCCTACAAGATACTTTGACAGATTTTGCTAGCTTTGCAGATATGTCAACAAACCAACTTATACTGGTCCAAACGCTATGATGTTTTATGGGGGTCTCATATAACTTGTACCAAATGCCGCACAAAGAATAAGCTCATTCAAGTAACGAGAGATAGGTAAAGCATGCTTTGTTCGACAGGCCAACACGTCGCTTGGTTTTGCATATATGCAAAGAAACCATCATATAACAGTCCTAACGGTCTGATTTTTGTATGGGAGTTTCCTTGCACTACGTATAGATGGCCCACAAAAATTGAGGTCAATCCAAAATGGAGAGATAGGTAAATCATGATTTGTTCTGCCATCCCGATACGTCTGCAACGTCGCCTGATTTTGCATTTATGTCTACAAACCAAGCACTACTTGTCCAAATTCTCTGATTTTTGTGTGGGAGTCTCCTTGTACTATCTATAGATGCCCCACAAAAAATGAGCTCAATCCAAAAGAGAGAGATAGGGAATTCATTATTCTTTCTGCCAGCCCGAAACTTTTGCAGCGTCGCATAGTTTTGCATTTATATCTACAAATCAAGCATGACTTGTGCAAACGCTCTGATTTTCGTATAGGAGTCTCCTTGCACTACGTATATATGCCCCACAAAAATTAAGCTCAATAGAAAATAGAGAGATAGAGAAATCATGACTTATTCTGCCCGTCGTGTACATCTCCAACGTCGCCTGGTTTTGCAGTTATGTCTACAAACCAAGCACTACTTGTCCATACGCTCTGATTATTGTATAGGTGTCTCCTTGCACTACGTACAGATGCCCCAAAAAAATTAAGCTCAATCGAAAATAGAGAGATAGGCAAATCATGATGTGTTCTGCCAGCTCGATACATCAGCAACGTCGCCTGTATGTCTACAAACCAAGCCATACTTGTCCAAACATTCTGATTTTTGTATGGGAGACTCCTTGCACTACTTATAGATGCCCCACAAAAATTGAGCTCAATAAAAATTAGGGAGATAGGTAAATCGTGGTTTGTTCTGCTAGCCTGATGCTTCTGCAACGTCGCCTGATTTTGCATGTATGTATACAAACCAAGCTCTACTTGTCCAAATGCTCTATTATTTTTATGGGAGAGTCCTTACTTATAGGTGCCTCAGAAAAAAATAAGCTCAACCCAAAATAGAGAGATACATGGAGTATATGCTTGAGCGCATCGTCATGTGCTAGTTATCGTCGAGAGAGATAGCATGGAATACGTTTTGTTGATGCCCCTGTTCCATTGCAAGAGGCGCAACGTACGACACGACGTTGCGTACGTCAGGTATTACAGGACGTCAGGGATAGCTGCAAGAACAGGGCGCGTGCGGCTGCGATGGCCCGCAAACGAGAACGCATTCTACGCTACAGTATTCCTATCGCGCATATCTTGCGCCACGTGAATGTGGTGAAGTTGTATGATCCTGAAGAGCCGGATGTGTACATGCTGAACAAATACATAGTGTAATATGTAGTTACGACTAATAAGTGCATTCTAGCATTGTAGAAACAAATAATATCGATAAGGTATGGGTTTTGAAACAATTTTGAATTCATTTACCTGCACATAAAACGAAGCGCGATGCAATGTCGAAATATACCGAACCTCTGAATTTCCGAACCGCAATGTTCGAAAGCCAATGTACACTCGCGCCTCGGACGAACTGAAAAAACAGGCTGGAAACATGCCGTGAATTTTGTGAGGGCGAAATCGAGTGCTTGAAATTTCCGTTGGTGTTTCAGCTGGTTCGCGCCTGAAAATTGTGTTCGACACTTTGCCAAACCAAACCACAAAAAGGGAGGAAGATTGTGATGCAGAAGCCACGATGGGGGGGGCAGTGGAGGAGGCAGCAGTAGGCGCCAGCACGGTGGGTGCTGAGGTGGCACAGGAGGTGGCAGGGGCGGTGCAGGGGATGGCAGACGCCGTCCAGGAGGTGGCCAAGGTGGGGCGGCAGGCGGTGGCATGTAGTGCGGCGGTGGGGATTGCGGTGCAGAGCGGTGCAAGGGGGTTGGTGAGAGAGCAAGTGGACGCCCTGGTGGTGGATGCAGATGCACGGGTGAGAGTGCAGGCATGGGACAGCTTGTGGCGCATCTCACAACGATGCCAGGTGATGGGCGAGTGACACGAGGGGCAAGGGGTTGAAGGGGGAGGGGCTGAACTGAGGGGAGGCGAGTGGATGAGGGGAGGCAAGGGGCTGGTGGGTGCATGCAAGGAATAACACTTCACCACAAAGTTCTTCCCATGACTCATTTCCATACGCCTGCTGCTTACCTTGTATGATGCTCTTCTGACCGAGCATTGCAGTCAACCCGCCCATTGCATTGCATTCGCTCGTGCTCGAAGGTGCCACTGGAGGCGATGCGCAGGGCGAACCTTCAGGTGCATGGGGATCGGGTGCTGGAGGGGTCGTACCTCTCCCTCCCATATGTTTTAGTCAACGAATTGGTCGAAACCCAAGTAGTGGCGTTGGAGTAGGATTGCTGATAACCATGGTAATCAATTGTTGTTGTAATGTATCATATGCTTTTCATTTATTGGTTTCATTGCTTGCTCATTCAAAATAAAAGGATGGAATATATTTGCTCGAACGTACCTGGAAAGTTGTGTCAGTAGATCTGCACTGTGGATGCCCGATTGATCCTGGAGAGGGTTACAGGCGCGTTCGCCTGGGGGGTTATGGGCGCACTGACCCGCTACTGAAACAAGCCCTTTTATCCCAATGGTCTAGTGGTTGGGATTCTGACATGGTATAGAGCTGGTTCCCTCGTGGGAACACTTCCTTGGGCCCACCACTAAAATTTTCTTTCTGACCGGAGCGTCAGTTGCTCCTGCCCGTGGCGCGTCTTTTTCGCCGCCCTCCCAGGCCCTTAGTGGCCCCTAGCGACCTCGTCGCTGCCCCTACGCGGCCCCGTCGCCGCCCCTACGCGGCCCCGTCGCCGCCCCTACGCGGCCCTTTCGCCGCCCCTAGCGGCCCCGTCGCCGCCTCTCACCCTACGCGGCCCCGTCGCCGCCCCTACGCGGCCCCATCGCCGCCCCTAGCGGCTCCGTCGCCGCCCTTAGCGGCCCCGTCGCCGCCCCTAGCGGCCCCGTCGCCGCCCCTAGCGGCCCCGTCGTCGCCCCTAGCGGCCCCGTAGCCGCCTCTTTCCCTACGCGGCCCCGTCGCCGCCCGTACGCGGCCCCGTCGCAGCCCCTACGCGGCCCTTTCGCCGCCCCTAGTGGCCCCATCGCCGCCTCTCACCCTCTGCGGCCCCGTAGCCGCCCCTACGCGGCCCCATCGTCGCTCCTAGCGGCCCCGTCGCCGCCCCTAGCGGCCCCGTCGCCGCCTCTCACCCTACACGGCCCCGTCGCCGCCCCTACGCGGCCCCGTCGCCGCCCCTAGCGGCCCCGTCGCCGCTCCCCTACCTACGCGGCCCCGTCGCCGCCACTACACGGCCCCGAAGCCGCCCCTAGCGGCCCCGTCGCCGCTTCCCTCCCTACGCGGCCCCGTCGCCGCCCCTAGCGGCCCCAACGCCGCCTCTACCGAGCAGCCGCCCAGCAGCCGAGCCGCCCGACAGCCGAGCTGCCCGACAGCCGAGCCGCCCGACAGCCGAGCCGCCCAACAGCCGAGCCGCCCGACAGCCGAGCCGCCCAGCAGCCGAGCCGCCGAGCAGCCGAGCCGCCCGACAGCCGAGCCGCCTGACAGCCGAGCCGCCCAGCAGCTGAGCCGCCGAGCCGCCGAGTCGCCCAGCAGCCGAGCCGCCGAGCCGCCCTGCCGTCGAGCCACTACTGTTCCTACAGGCACGCCCCGACCCTACTTCCTCCGACTGGTGAGATCACTTCCTGTTAGGCCACTGCAGTTATGGCTACCCCCAGTGTTCTTACCTTTGATACTGAGGGTCGTGCTGTTGACTTTGAGGTCTGGGTAGATGACCTCCAGCTGTTCCTACAGTGCGATAGGGCAGACGGACTCTCCCTGTTCGATCTCACCTCTGGTGCCTCCCCTGCCCCGCCTGCTACTGCTGACAGCACTGGTCGCTCACAGTGGGCCACACGCGATGCTGCTGCACGTCTTGCTGTGCGTCGCCACTTACCGACCACTGAGCGCGCGCACTTTAGCCAGTACAAGAGTGCTCAGACCTTGTACGACGCTGTAGTTGCACGCTACTCCTCCCCTGCTACTGCTGCACTGAGCCGCCTCATGCTACCGTACCTCTTCCCTGGCCTTGCTGCCTTTCCCACAGTCGCTGACCTCATTACGCACCTCCGCACTAGTGACACTCGCTACCGCGCTGTGCTTCCTGCTGAGTTCTGTGCCAAGAACCCCCCCCCCATGTACATCACCCTCTACTACATAGTCACCCGGCTCCCTGACTCCCTTCGCTTAGTCAGGGACCACTTCTTCTCATTCTGCCCCACCACGCTCACCGTTGACCTCCTCGAGGAGCGCCTCCTAGCAGCAGAGAAGAGCATAGTCGCTGTAGGAGCCTCTCGTGGTGACCCTCGCACCCCCGTCTTTGAGGGGTGTTCCCCCTCCCACCTCTTGCCCTCTGTTGGTTCTGCTGCTGCGGCCGACCTCGTTGGTTTCGAGTCGGTCGGCGCTGCGTCTGCCCCTAGCGGGAGACGCCGCACCGGCAAGGGCAAGGGGGGCAAGGGCGCTGGAGGGGCTGGCGGGGGCGGTGGAGGGGGTGGTGGAGGCAGTGGAGGGGGTGGGGGTGGTGGGAGTGGTGGCGGGGGTGGAGGTGTCGGTGGCAGCAGTGGAGGCGGAGGAGGCGGCGGCGGTGGCGGAGGGAGCGGAGGCGGCGGAGGTGGCGGAGGCGGCGGAGGTGGCGGAGGCGGCGGAGGTGGCGGAGGCGGCGGCGGCAGCGGTGGAGCTGGTCGCGGCTCTGCGCAGAGGAGTGGGTCCGGTGGTGGTCAGCGCCAGCAGCAGCAGCGCACTCGTGAGACCCTGTCCCCTCAGCAGCTTCGTGAGTGGTACGCTGTGCGTCAGCGCGGTGGGGGTACTGGTCCCTGCACCTACGTCCTCCGTACCGGCGACCGCGCTGGTGAGCAGTGCGGGGGCCCGCACTCCACCCAGCGCTGCTTCGGCCGCCTGACGGATGCGTGGCGTCACCAGTTCCCTGAGGCCTCTGAGATCCCTCGCTGGGGAGAGCTGTCTAGGGCGGGGGTTGCTATCTTTGATCTTGATTATGATGCTATTCTTGCTTCCATGTATGCTGTGTCTGATAGTGCTGAGGGTGACTGTTACCTGTGTGTTCCGCCTGACCCGGGCATTGCGGCTGCTCCTCTAGGTGCTGGTGAGGATGCTGCTCTAGGTGCTAGTGCGTCTGCTGCTCAAGGTGCTGGTGAGTCTGCTCTCTCAGGTACCACGTCTGGTCAGGCTTTGCACACCTTCACCCTTGACTCGGGTGCTTCCCGTTCCTTCTTTTGAGACCGCACCACACTTACGCCGCTTAGTCGGCCGGTTGCGGTCTCCCTGGCGGACCCCTCTGGGGGTCCTGTCCTTGCTAGCTTCTCCACTGTCTTACCGTGCCCGGCAGCCCCCTCTGGCACCCTGTCCGGTCTCTACCTCCCCTCGTTCTCTACGAACTTGGTGAGTGGAGCTGACCTACAGGATAGGGGGGTTGACCAGTTCACTCCTGCGAGTCAGCGGGTGACCCACTGCACGTGTGCTCGGACAGGCCGACACTTGGCCACGTTCACCCGTCGGCCGGGGTCGAGCCTGTACACACTTACTACTGAGTCTCCTCCGGCTGCTGAGTCTGGTCAGGAAGCTGCGTCAAGTCAGGTGTTTGCTGCAGCGTCCAGCTCTGGTCCTGAGTCTGCTCCCTGCTCGTGTCGTCTCCTGTCCCACCAGACTCTCCTTTGGCACCACCGCCTTGGTCACCCCTCCCTGCCTCGTCTCCGAGGCATGGCCTCCCGTGTCCTTGTCTCTGGTCTCCCCCGGTCTCTCCCTCCCCTACCTCCGGGGCCTGCCCCTACCTGCGTCCCCTGCGTCGAGGGTCGAGAGCGCGCCGCCCCTCACTCCTCCGAGTTTCCTCCGACAGAGGCTCCGCTGCAGACTCTTCACATGGACGTGTGGGGCCCCGCCCGCGTCCGTGGCCAGGGGCACGAGCGTTACTTCCTGTTGGTGGTTGACGACTACTCGCGTTACACCACAGTCTTCCCCTTGCGCAGCAAGGGTGACGACACTGAGGTGTTGATCGACTGGATCCGCGCAGCTCGTCTCCAGCTCAGAGAGAGTTTCGGCTCGGACTTTCCTGTTCTGCGTCTGCACTCTGACAGAGGCGGGGAGTTTTCCTCTGCCCGTCTGGGAGCCTTCTGTCGAGCACAGGGCATCCGCCAGACCTTCACGCTTCCGGCCTCTCCACAGCAAAATGGGATTGCTGAGCGCCGCATTGGCATGGTCATGGACGTCGCTCGTACGTCCATGATCCATGCGGCTGCCCCCCATTTTCTGTGGCCGTTTGCGGTTCAGTACGCAGCGCATCAGCTCAACCTTCAGCCCCGGGTCTCCTTGCCAGAGACCTCCCCCACCTTGCGGTGGACGGGGAAGGTTGGCGATGCGTCTGCGTTTCGGGTCTGGGGATCTCGGGCGTTTGTCCGCGACTTGTCTGCGGACAAGCTGTCCCCCCGTGCTGTTCCCTGCGTCTTCCTTGGCTTCCCCCCTGACGCGCCTGGGTGGCAGTTTTACCACCCCACCTCGCGCCGTGTTCTGTCCTCCCAGGACGTCACCTTTGACGAGTCGCTGCCTTACTACCGTCTCTTCCCCTACCGCACTGCACCCCTCCCCCCGCCGCCGCTCTTCCTTGCGCCAGGTCCTCCCCCGGTAGACCCCCTCCCCCCTCAGGGTCCTGCCCCGTCAGGTGTGTCCCAGGTAGACGCAGTCGAGCCTGTCGAGGTAGCTGTTGACTCTGGTGCTGCTAGAGGTGCTGAGCCTGCGGGTGCCGGGTCTGGAGGTGCTGAGCCTGAGGGTGCGGAGCCTGGGGGTGCTGAGTCTAGGGGTGCGGAGCCTGGGGGTGCTGAGACTGGGGGTGCTGAGCCTGGGGGTGCTGAGTCTGGGGGTGCTGAGCCTGGGGGTGCTGGGTCTGCTCGTGTGGCCTCGCGCGGTGCTTCTTCGAGGCGGGAGCCACTCTCTCCGCAGGAGCTGCGCGAGTGGTTTGCCCGGCGCTGGAGCCGTGCTGCTGGAGCTGGAGGTACTACTGTTGCGGCTGGTCCCGGAGGTGCTCGTACTGGCGGTTCTCGAGCTGCTGGGACTGGGGGTGCTGCTGGGGCTACTGGAGGTACTGCTGGAGCTGCTGGCGGTACTGGAGCTGCCGGTCCTGCTGGAGTTGGTGCTGCTGGAGCTGCTGGAGCTGCTGGAGCTGGAGCTGCTGGGGGTGTTGGCGCTGGTGGTGCTGCTGGCGCTGGTACGTCTGCGGGTGCTGGAGTTGGCGCTGTTGGAGCTGGAGGTGCTGCTGGCGCTGGTACTGCCGCTGGGGGTACTGGTGCTGTCCCTG